GCGTATTCATTGTATATTTGATGCATATTTATTGTGTATTTGATGCGTATTGGAATAAAATTTCTTAAATTTTCATGAGTAAATAATTTTACAATTTTATTTTACATAATAATATATTATACAAGTTTTATTTTATAGAAAATTTAATTAAAGACTACATAAAATTTTGTATAATTTTTTTTAATAAAATAAAATAAAAACATATGTGCATTGTACATGTTCTATTTTACAAAACTTGTAAAAATTATATTGCAACAATTACGTATCTACTATGTATCGGAAGCTTATTGTTGTGTATTAGCTATGTATTTGTTGCATATCAATTATGTATATGTTACGTATCTGCTACGTATAAAATAAATTTTTCTTGAATTTTCATCAATAAATAATTTTACAATTTTTTTTTATTTAACATAATATAATTAATCAATGACCAAGTAAAAACCTATGTACAAAAAAAGGTTCATTTCAATGATGAACAAAATAGTAGTGTACGAAATCTACTATATATTTTGGTATTTCTTTTTGCCAATTTTTAGTTTTAAAACAATTAGTGTTGCCTTCAAGAACAATCTTTTTCTTGTATTTGTAAATAAACATTCCGTAATTCATAATGTTATTTTGAGTTGGTACACCACATATAGGCCGGACCTTCCATTATCTTATATCATTATCAAAGCTTCCTTCATGTCATCATGTAATTTTTTAATTTGAATAATACAACAAACATATATGGGTTGACCAGTAACTTTTGAAAAATTTAACAGTTGCTCTCTCACTTATGATCTTTTGAAGAATTTGCTTATGCTGGCAAAAAATCATAAAATTTCTATTTCTCTTACTTCAACATCGCAACCAGAAGGGTCCAATGATCATTGTGAATAATTGGTTGAAGTAGAAGGTCGCATGACTTAATAGCAAATTAGTGATATGTTTGACAAACAAATTCACAGTTTGGTAGAATTGCTTGTAATTCTATAAGAAGTCAATAAGGGTATGGAAAATGAAACAGCTAAAAATATTATGTATATAAATTATTTATTACATGTATACTAACCTAATGCATTGATAGTACTTGTGAGGGCTAAGTTTATTCTTCTCATGTAATAGTAGGGTGAATGAATCTACATGATTATTGTTCTAATATAACTTCATTAACGTCAACTCTAGTTATTGAGATGTTCCCATAAGAGAATATTTGATCATACATGTAATGAAGAAAATATGCATGAAATACATTGAAAACACATAAAATACGTAGTAAAATGCAATAAATACATATAAAATATGCATTAAATATACAAAAAATATGCAACAAAAGACACAGTAAATATGTAATAAAAACAAAATAAATATGCAACAAAAATAAAATAAATAACATAGTGTTGCAGAGTTAACTTGTCAATAAACTTTATAAAACATTCATCCAAAAACAGTTGCTTCTTCTCTTTACTCAGCATCTCCCTACCCTTGTATTCCATTATTGAATTTGCATGTTTAAGCATTATTTGAATGTCTTCAACGTTGATTAGCTCAGTTGAGGGCTTGGGGAAGGGGTCCCTATTCTATGCTTCTTCTCATCCCTCCTCTTAAATATTATTAATTCCTCTTCATTCTCATATGTAACTTGATAGTCAACATCAAGTACAACTTTCTTTTGGCTGATGATAGGAAGAATAATTGGTTCTTTTGGGGCTTCCTGCTTGATTTTGACTAAAGCAAGTATCTCTTCAGTCGGGATTGGTTACTAACAGGATGATGAGGCCGGAGCAGGCGTTTGCTCAATATCAAATTTGTATTGAGCAATGTGGTAGATTAGCTTATATTCAATTGGTTCTACTCTTGTTGCTAGATGCTCGAACCTCCTGCTCTGCTTACCTTCAAGTTCATGGAAGAACTTTGTGTATGTATTTTGGAATGATGTCATCAATTTCTCCTATAGACTATCTCAAGCCTGAGCAGTAGTTGGAAATGAAATTTGCTGAGGAGTTTTTGTGCGCGTGGGTGTGTGTGTGCGCGCACGCACGGGGAGGGGGGAGGGGCGTGGCCGCGTGGGGTGGTTATGCGAAGAATGAGGTGTGTGGGTGGGGAATTTTGTTCTAGTTGATTAGGAGGGTATTGCCTGAGGGGAAGGATGAAGGCTGCGTGTTCCAAAGTTCTAGATGCCTAGCAGATTGTCTGCTTCCTCCTGGGTAACTCCTTAGAGAGCATCAAAAAATTGTAAATATTTTATTTGTTAGTAACCCCCATTCTTCTTAGAGTTATTAATTAAAATATGTTGCATGATAAATCTGTATGCATATCTATTTTTCATTTATATTAACAAATAAATTATAGGCTTCACGGAATTATATACAATATTATCACTCCATCGAAAGAAATGGGGCCTTTGGTCAGGGTACCTAGGACATATATTGAAGTGTGCTCTAAAAACCAAATAGGCATAAGTTCAAATATAAATTAACAAATGAATTAGTAAAATGAAATAAAAATTATGATGATACTCATAACACTCACAAGTAATAAAGGCACAAAATTTATTTATGTAAACAGTTAGTTTCTGCATTGAAATCTTCTTGGAAACTTTATTAAACTCTCAAACTAAAAATTTTCTAATTGACCCCGCCTAGTTAATAGATAAAAACTCATATACATTATTTGATATTGAATTAAGCCTTCTAGAGGTTTGGAGGTTATTAAGTTGATAAAATAAATTTGAACTTAAATATATAATAAATATTTTTAATATAGTGAATGGGGGTTGATCTGTTCAATTCCAGCATATCGATCTTTACTTCCTTTGATGAAACTCCTGTAAGTGCAGAGCTAAGTTGGGAGATCTCTTGATATGTTTTTGGCAAACCATTAAGAATGGCTACTTCATCTGTTTTGAATTGTATAGCATGATCCTTTATTTTAAAACATTATCATGGAATATCCCACAGTTTGAGGGCTCGTACATCAATGGGATGTTCTACTCGAGAAAAAGGAATTTCATAAATTGGTAGATGTTTAATCTCCTCATTGTGTCCTCCACATCAGGGTTTATTATCTCCACAAATGTGTCGTGGGTTGTTCGAAAAATTGATACATAACATCAAAAAGTAAGAGGTCAAACATAAACTGAAATATTAAAGAAATAAACACATAAAATACACATAATCCTAAACAAACAAAAACTAACATGCAGTTATAAATAAGACAAACTCTAAGAGTAAAAAAGGAACAAGGTTAACACAGACATTTGTTAAGTACACAATAAATACACAGAACAAAAAAGCAGTTCATAGTCAATAAATGCATAGAAAAAATGCAGTTATTATGCAACTTATATGTAGTTATCACGATAAACAAATAACGGACTAACCTTTTTTTGAAGATAAAGCAATCAGCGTAGATGAAAAGTGATCGAATGCTAGAGTTGCAAGGAGAACAACGAATGCCAAAGATGCAAGAAAAATAGGAAAAAAAAGTGAATATTAACATGAAAAATTTTCTGCCATTCTCACTTTTTATCAGGACTCTTTACAAGTCGGCCGGACTAGCAATACACCATAAAAAAATAACACTTCAAACTATTATAAATACATATTTAACACCTAAACTTTTATATTTACTAATATACCACCTAAAACCACCCTTTTTCATTTATTCTAACACTCTGTTACTCCTCAGTGACTGCCGCTTCTTCCCTCGTCAGCGATTTTCATGACGGCGATGGCTCTAGTGGTGGAATTGCTCAGCCAAATTCTTAGCCTGCCACTTCTTCCCTCGTCAACGATTGCCATAACGACAATGGCTTTCAACGATCAAAGCCAATGGCTCCAGCGGTGGTTCATTTAATGTATCACATAATCTCTTGTATGGTTATATTTCTTCTGATTTTGCAATCATGCTTTCTCACAATAGTGCTAGCATAAATTTATCTGTTAAATCTAAGTTCACCTATAAGGAGAGAGGGATAACCTATGATGGGTTTGGGAATCCAATTTCACCTCCCCCGACCCTAACTTAGGCTCAAGCTCATCCAAAAGCAAGAACACTTTGAATTATATTGTGGCATCAGTTGTTAGAGGAACGACCCTCCTAGTGTTCGTAGTAATTTGTTTGTTGCTGTGTTTTTGTTGGCGTAGAAGCGAGTGTAACTTCTGCATCTGATCAGAGGGAGATGATTCCACATGCTGCTCCACTGACCCTGAAGGAGGCAACAAACCCATCTCTGGGGAGTTTTGGAAATTAGGAGTCATGTAGTTGTGGAGTGAGCGGGAGCAAACAATCAATGTGCATGTGTGGTCCATTGAACCCATCTCAAACAAAAAGATCCCAGCATCAACAGATTCGAGACGGAGTCGTACCTGGGTCTGAATGAGATTGGGCATCTTTTTGAACCGCAAACGACGACGGAGCTCCGGTGACGAAGGCGATAGGTCAATCTCGACGTCCTCCACTAGCATCTCCTCGGCTGTGGGACCGATAATAAATTCCCATCGCCATCTTACTGGGAATAATAATAAGGCCACGATAAGGAGAACGAGGTGGGAGATGTTAAGTTTAAGAGATGACAAGAAAAGGAGGAGCTGGAAGTTGCCAGCGGTTGTGGAGAATAGCCAATTGTCTTCGCGATAGTGAGAGACATGGCCTTCTGCGCACATCGCATTTGACAAGAAAAAAGAATTATGAAACTTCAATTGCTCGACGATTTCCTGCGCTCAAATGAAAGGAAGACACATGAGGCGGGATTTCTGAGGGTGCTTAAACGGAGTAGTAGAATTGAGGAGGAGGAGAATTTTAGGTGATATATCAGAAAATATAATAATTTGAATGTTGAATATATATTTTCAATAATTTCAAGTGTTATGTACTTAAAATTTACTAAAATTAAATAAAGATAAATATTTTTGGTGACCGGAGGCAGACCTGCGCGCGCAGAATCCGCACGAATAATTTCTCCCGCGAGCGAGCGGTTTGGCGTGCCCTAAACAAGCTAGAGCGATCAGTCAGGTCGGAGGGCGGGCATGGAGGTCGATAAGCCGAGAGCTCCTAAGCGAAAGAAGCTAAAGGACAATCACCCTTTGAAGCCCCGATCTACTATCAATAGAAACAAGAGTAAGAAGTTGAATATCAAAAACCCTAACTTCGTACCTCTTGGGGAGAACAAGTTCTTCGAGGACGTGAGGGTGAAGGATAAGGAGGGGAAGAGGACAACGAAGAAGGCGACTGAAGATTCCAAAGTTGAAACTGTTCTTCTTTCCTCGCTTCCCGCCACGCAGCAACTCGGTTTCTTCCTTGATCGCTTCCAATCAGCCAACAAATCCAAACTATCTCCTTTAGAGTTGGAGGAGTACAAAGGTATTTTTTTTAGTGTTCCTTTTGCTGATTAATGCGTGGTTTGTTTCACGTCCGTAAGAGTTTATGAAAAGATTAAATTTTGCTTCGGATCTGCTGAGGAAATTTTTTGAAGTTTTGTTGTTTGGAATTTATTGTATCGTTTGCGTATGATTTCTAGAAGTCAAGTTGAGCCATGTTGTAGCTAGAGAAAAAAGGAAGAAGGCTGTGTGTCTTTCTGAGAAATAAAACTGTGTAACGTACCCAGTTTGGATAATTCGCTCCAAGCATCCTATATATTTCCATTTCACTCTAGTGTTGCTGGAAACGACATGTTCATGCTTCTCTCCCTATTATTTTATTTTTTAAGTTTCTCCAACCAGCATGCAAAAGTGCTTTTTTGACACTTTCCTGATATATTCAGTTGAATTTGACTTTTTGTTGTAACTATTTAAATATGAAAAGTGTAGATGATAATGCTTTATGAAATTATTAAGTTACAGTTTTAAAAAATAGTTATTTTTTTCTTTCTTTAGAAGAATAAGATCTACAAAATCATGATGATCACTAGAAATCTATCTAGTATGGTGAAGCTGAGTTAGCTTTAGGCTAGGATGAGGTACCTATTTAAATTTGGAGAGTTATAAAGGATATTTAAATAGTTTGGTTAGTAAATTTTCTAGTGATCAACATGATTATGTAGATCTTATGGATGCTTAGAAGCAAAGAAGATTCACTTTGATAATGGGAAAATCAAACTTAAGTTATAAGTTGAAGTTATGGGAGAATATAATAGAACATAGACTTGGAAAAATCTTTCTGGCATCAAAGATTAAATTTTGGTTTTGCATTCGTATTGTTTTTAACTAGCTTGTTTTTTATTATAAGGTAATTCATGGAAAAAAAATTAAAGTAACGAATATGGATTTGATTTGTTATGGAAAAGTCTATATTGAGCACCATGAAACTTGATTTTAATGCAGGGTTATTTCACAGAAAACTTATATATCAAATGTATGCTGAGTTGTTTAAGTTGAATGTCATGAAGCTATAATTAACATAAGAAGTTTTAGAGTGATAAAATATTTTAATTTCCATGGGATCATTTCTTAGAATCAACATCAAATGATACCATTTTGTATTGACATAAACTGCTTATAAAAGATATTTATTGTGAGGTTTCTTAGTGTTTACTATTTGCTGACGGATGATATTTCTCCCATAGTAAGTGAAAAATTAAAATGATGAATTTTTGATAGGACTAGTAGCCTAAAGATTGAGAAAATGATATTCAATGTTAGCAGATGTGAAATTGATGAGTGTTAGTCATTCTCTTTTAAATTTCTAGTGATAGTTAGGTATGATAGGGTTATGTGCTGAAAGATAGCATAAAAAGATGACTGTTTAAATAATTAAATAATTTATATTCAAAACTTGGTATTAAAATGGGTAATTGCCTTAGAAGTGCTATGTGAAAAGAAAGTTTGTGGAGTCTTAGAAGGAAAATTTTATGATGTTGTAATTTGATCTACTTTTTAATATGACTTTTAGCGTTGTGCATCAAAGAGTCAATCTAGCCAAGTTGATCGTTGTCAAAATGAAGACGTTATGATGGATGTGTAGCAAAATTAGAAATGATAGAGTTATAAGATGATTTTTATTAGAGAGAATGCAAGATTAACTCCTATTAAACATTAAGTAGTGTAAATAGACTTACATTACTTGTACATGTATAATTGAGGGGAAAAGAAGCTCCAATAGGGCAAGTAGAAAGACTTAATGTGGATTGAGTAGGAAAGAAGAACAGCAGGTACTATGACCAGAAGGTCTGCAAAAGAGCTTATATAGAAATGGACTTAATGTATCACTCAACATGAATGAGTGAAGGGGGATTCATAAAGCTAACTTCAAATAGTTGAAACAATGCTAATTATGTTGTTGATGCATCTTTTTCCCAGTTGAGAGAAGTTTGTTTAATCATAATGGAGTACATCCTTTTATGTAGTTACAATATGTTAATAGTTATTAGAAGAAGCTATGTAGTTGGCCTGCATTTCAAACCTTTTCTTAACAAATATGACTGACCTTTTGCAAAATATGCATTAAAACTATGAAATGATGATATTCTCTTTGCTGGTTAATTAGTTTCCATTTTCCCATTTCCCATAACATGTACTGACCTTCAAATATGTGAACAGTTTCATTGTAAGCATTATATATTTTCTGCTAACATGAGCACTATGTCATTTACTAAGGATTAATACATTCCATAAATGATATGTCTTGGTCATTTTCAGTCAAGGAGAATATCCCATTTATCATGTTTTCATGTAATTTATTTCTTCTTCCAAATAAATTAGAATTGCAATTTATCCATTCATGAAGTAAACAATTATCTATGCATAATGGAATTGGATTATAGCAATTCTATACTAATGTTAATGGCAACTGATGATATGCAAGTACTTTTTGATTTTGATAACATGCTTCGGCATGATGTAATTTCTAATTATTTTTAAATTCTAATATCATATTTTTTTGTGATTATTATTTTTGTTTTCTTAAAAATGGCAAACAGTTAGACCACTCTATTGATTGATTGGCATATGAAGTGGTTCATCTTTGCACTCTTTATGATTCAAGCAACTGTGATTGTTTGGATTTTGCTTACTCAATGAAAATGTGGGTTCATTTAATTAAAACCTTATGTTAATATGATGCATTTTTATTATGGTAGTGTGTCAAAAGGAGTTGAATTTAAAAACTATTAAGATTAATGTTTTCATAAAGATGCTCTAACATTTATGATTGTGATTTGAAATATGCAGATGCATGCATGGTTGAACTCTCTAAGGATATCAATCAGGATGCAAACAACTTAAGTAAACATATTAAGGATGCTTTTGGAGAATCATGGCAAGAGGTTCTTTGTGATGGAAAGCTTTCAGAAGGAACAATTGAACCAGGAAGTCCAGCAGTGCTTATTATAAGCGTCTCTGCATTGAAGTCATTGGAACTTCTCAGGTAACACAATACTATATGTTTTTTTTTTTTTTGAAGTTTTGTAATACTAGTAAAAATGCAAGCATGTCAAGTACATTTTTCTTTTATAATTTTCCAAAGTATATCAAAACAACAAAAAATTATTTTGAGTTTAAGATAATGAAATATTTGACTATGTAATTATCTCTATTGTGTCATGCTAAAAGTCAAATTCTCATCTAAATCTAGTAAAGAAATGTCATTTCTAATATTTTCTAATCAAGTCTTTTTAGGTATACATCTACCTTTCGTAACATAAGTTAAATCTAATATATCTACTTTCCTAACCGATTCATCGGAAGGCCGCCGTTTTATGTGACCAAACCATCCAAGGCGACTCTCTGTAATCTTATCTTCCACTGGAGCTACTCCAACTTTTTCTTGTATATGCTCATTTCGTATCCAGTCTCAAAGAGTAAAGCCACTCATCCACCTGAGCATCCTCATCTTTGCAATATTTAACTTAATATTACGCTTCTCTTTTAATGGCCAACATTTTGCACCATAAAGCATTGCAGGTCTAACCACCATCCTATAAAACTTTCCCTTAAGTTTGAGGGAGACTTTTCTATCACATGACAAGCCCGATGCATTCCTCCACTTCAACCATCTAACTTGAATTCTACTAATAATATCTCCATCTATTTCACCATCACTCTGAACAATAGATCATAGATATCTAAACCGTGTACTCTTATTAATAACTTGATCAACCAAAGCGACAATCCCCTCACTAGATCTATTGTTACCAAAATTACACTCCATATATTCATTTTTAGTTCTACTCAAACGAAAGCCTTTAGAATTTAAGGTTGACCTCGATAATTCAAGTTTTCCTTCAACTCCCTCTCTAGTCTTATCAACAAGAAGAATATCATTAGTAAAAAGCATACAACAAGGTACAACCTCTTGCAGATGCTATCATATGCGATGTGTATATTTGGTTTGCATGGGATTGGGTAGGAGTGGACACCAATGAGGGTGTGTCAGGGAGATTAAGTCACAATTCATAAAGAGGGAAGGTTGTCGAGGGTTGTTACAACAAATAGTGTCACTTACATCCTAGTTCTGGTTTCATATTAATGCAGAGGGATATTTTTGTTGTGTAGTATTTAATAGTGAGCCCTTCTATTTATAATAAGGGAATGGGTACATTATTCTAAGATACACCCAATTAACATATACAAATCATCAAGCATAGATTATATTTCTAACAAGTATATTGTTTTTTTAATGCCAACGTACTTGTTTAAATTTTAAATGAAAAGAACAAAAACAAGATGGCTTGATTGTATATAAAAAAGTTGATTAGTCATGAAACAAGAAAAAAATTCTATTTATGATGTGTCATTTTGGAAATGAATATTTCAATCTTATAGGTGCTAGGCTGAAGATCAAAAAATTCTTTTCTTAGAAGATGATATTCAACAAAGATGGATGAGATATTTTGCTAAACTTTTTAATGAAGATTGTGAAAATAAGATTGACTATAGTGACCTTAGCACCCTAAATGAAAATAAAGATTTATGTTTTTATCGGCGTATTAGTAAAACTGAAGTTAGAGAGGCTTTAAAGAAAATAAAGGGTGGAAAAGCTGTTGGACCTGATGATATTCTAATAGAGGTGTGGAAATGCTTAGGAGATGAAGGAATTTCATGGCTTACTAAACTTTTTAATACTATTTTGAAGACTAAGAAGATGCCAGATGAGTGGAGAATGAGTCTTGGATTTGGAAGAGAAATTTCTTCTTTGGAAGAGCATTAGGGCAAATCCTAACTTGGGAACCCTAAGGCGTATCAGAGAGCTTCTCCTTTGGAAATAAATCAAATAGGTGGGGTTAGGAGTTTTCGGCCAAGGAGGTGGAGGAGGGAATTAGGAATTATTTCCAAGAGGGGCTTAATGGGTTTTGAAAATTAATCCTAAGGGATTTATTAAGAGGGGCCGGCAGCAAGGGGGCTAGGGAGGGACATTAAGGAAGCTTTTAATGCTTCCTTAAATTAGATAATGAGATTTGGAATGAAATATTTCATTCTAAATTAAATTAAAATCAAATAGGAAAGGGTTTGAAAATTTTCCTAAAATAGCTTTCTTAAATTAGGAAAGAATTCAAATTCAAATAATTTTGAATTTTGAATTTAAACCTTCCTAACTTAGGAGTGGTTGCGTATGGAAAGTATTCCAGAGGGAGTTGAATTTGTGGAGGGAAGATGGGGAGGTGGGGTAGGGCCGACGGCTTGGTGGGTTTGTGGGGAGTTTCGGTGGAGGGATGGTGGGGGTTATGAAGGTTGGCGGCTTGGGTGGTGAGGTGGGGTTAGGTGGCCGGCGGCTAGGTGACGAAGGGAAAGGGAAAATAGATAAAGAACAAGAACCACAAACCCGTCCGTCTCCAATGTTGGTGGGTGATCCAAATTCCCTCCAAGGGATCTCGCTCTAATCTCTCAAGCTCTCATAAGAACTCAAACAAGGGGAAATTTTTTATCATTCAACCATTAACCTTAGAAGAGAAACATAAGTGCTATTATTGCCTCGTACAAAAGGACTCAAAATAAAAAAAGATGACAATGCCCTTAGGGCTTACGTACAACCTCCCTTAAGTAAGGGGTAAAACGAAAAAACAAGTACAACATAAATAATAAGAGACAAATAACATAATAAAAGACAAATACATGAAATTACTCAAAAATACATCGACTCGATCGTGGTCGTAGATCGACGGCCACGCCTCTGATATACTTTTCACGCTCTGATGTCACCATAAGATTTTTGTTGAGCTTAGCCTAATAGAATTTATGCTTTTGCTTATTATTTTGCTCGATATTACTCAGAATTGATGCTAAACTAATGGTAAAGAATATTAAGTAATACAAAGCAAAAAAAGCTCACAAAGAAATAACATATAGATGGCATAGATGGTAACGTTCTAGTAGTATACATAGCATAGATGGTTTCTGAATATTCCTCCTATGCTTGCCTGTAGTTCTAGCGATTCAGTTAAGATATGTTGCTAATTTTCCATTTATTCTTCTATTTATTAACTTGTTTTTTCTCATCTTATAGAGGCTTGAAAGTATATACAAAAAAATGCCGTCCAGCAAAGCTTTTTGCAAAGCATATGAAAGTGGAAGAGCAGGTTTTCCCTTTACTCTATAGATTTCAAATTTATATGATACTATGGACTATAACTAATAAATGAACATTGACGTGAAGAGCTGGTCAAGATGAATAAAATATTTGTGTGTGATTAAAACCCTTATTCTCAGAGTTTGAGATGTACTGACAAACTACATATAATATACATATACATTAACGATATTTGCTTATTTTTTAATGACATTCTGCATAATATAGTCATATCTGTATTGTGTTGGTGTTATGATATATAATATTTTTTTATTGGGTGTCTTGAGCCTATGAACCTTTTTTGGCTACCCTTTGTATTTAATACGCTTCAGCTTTGTTCTAATATATTTAATAGGATGTACTGACAAACTACTTAAGGTTAGGTCTCTAATTCAACCCATTCAATTTTATTTGTTATAGAGTTCTATTTATATCTAATTAAAAGAGAAGAACAATACTAAGTTAAGTGTTGCAGAGATGAGGATGCTTAGGTGGATGAGTAGCTTTACCCTTAGAGATAGGATATGAAATGAGCATATACGTGAAAAGGTTGGAGTAGCTCCCGTGGAAGATAAGATTAGAGAGAGTCACCTTATATGGTTTCTTCACATTAAATGGAGGCCTTCCGATGACCCGGTTAGGAAAGTTGAGGTATTAGATTTGACTTATGTTAAGAAAGGTAGAGGTAGACCTAAAAAGACATGGTTAGAAAATATTAGAAATGATCTTTCTTTATTAGATTTAAATGAGAATTTGACTTTTAACAGGACACAATGGTGAAAAAGGATTCATGTAGCCGACCCCACGTAGTGGGACAAAGGCTTGTTGTTGTTGTTGTATAGAGTTCTATTTATGATTTGTTCAGGTCAATTTAAACGATTTGGTTGGTAACTGATCAGTCAAAGAACTAAGCAAGCATTAATACTGTTGGCAGGTTGAATGGATGCTAAAGAGCTAGAGAAAAAGATAGCTAACCTTAAATAGTTTGTTCATTTTGCTTTGTATAGTTTGTTGATTAGAATTGTCAAACTGATTATATTGAATATGCAGTGTTATGTTCTCAGGAACCTTAAATTTTCCTTTAGGAACTGTGTTAAAGCACTTTAAAGGACAAATGACTTAAAAACTCTTTTGATGTGTGTTTATAATTCAAATTATATAGTGATCCAATTCTTTCTATAATGAGCTGTATCAGTTACAGTATATTTGTAATTGTTATCCATGATTTTTTTTCCTCGTGAATTTCACTATAAGTTGTTCAATCTTGCTTCTTCGTAGGTTGAATTGCTAAGGAACCGAGTGAATATTGCAAGTGGTACACCAAGCAGGTATCGCATATGATTCTTTTGTTTTTTCCCTCATTTTTATGCCTAGCTTCATTGTTTTTCTTCTTAATATTAACTTATGCAAATATTGGAAGTACAGTGTGGACTATGTCACCACAGAAAATAGGAAGAAATTGTAACTTTGCGGTATCATGAAGTAAAAACATTTATCTTGGTAGTTACCGTTTAGGCTTTATTGGGACGGCTTTCTTGCTGTTTCTTAAAGCAGCTTTCTAGTACAAAAATTTTAATTTTTGTATTTTTTGTACTAGAAAGCCACTTTAAGAAGCAACAAGAAAGTCGTCTCAGACGAAGCTTTAGGTGGTTTGATGCTGACTTTCCATTACTCATTGTCTAAGGGTTCGTTTGGGGCGGCTTTCTTACAGCTTCTTAAAACAACTTTCTATTATAAAACTTTTTAAGTTTTATACTAGAAAGCTGCTTTAAGAAGCAGTAAGAAAGCCATCCCAAACGAAGCCTAAGTGGTTATGAAACTTTTCAGTACTACTTTTGCATTGAACGTGCCATGTTAAAACCTTTTGGTCAATTTCCTTAAAGAGTTCATTTTAGATGAATATGGAATGCTATGCTTGTGATATTTAAATTATTTTTCTAGGTTTAAACAAGCTTCCCTAGTTTCACTTATCAAATCAACAAAGAAAAAATGGTTAAAAGTACAAGTGTGAAGTTTGAAATGGATCCATGATAATGATCCAGAAGGCTCCAGCATTAATTGGTCAAGTTCAAATTTAGGCTCAAACCCAATCATTTAAGAAGTTAGATGTGATGTTAGACAAAACTCAGACTTAAATTTAAATCCAAAAAAGTGCATGGATCACATAATGCTACATGGATACTCCTCATCAAAATGAGGTTGCACTTTTAAAATTGGATTTTGTAAATGAGGAAAAGTGGTTATCAAGTTAAGGAGGCTTGTTTATTTAGTAACTTCGATATGTAGAGTTTCTTCGTTCACTTATTCAACTACTCATTCATTTAATAGAAAAGAGTTGAATCCAATAAGGCCTCTAAATCACCTTTTCTCTCCCCTTTCCTTGTAATCGGCTAAAGAGTCTTTTCCCCTGAAGATTTCAGCCAGTACTCTCTCATTTGAATCGAGTACAGCCCCACTCCTTTTATCATCATTCTTTATTTCTAAACTTTGTTCCAACTCCCTTTGAGGAGGTAAACCCTGGGGAGGTTGAAAAACCTCGCTGAACTGGTGTATGAGTGGCTGCACTGCAGAGGGAAGATTGCCTTTTTCCTCTAGTCTAACCCCTTCCAGGCGGTGCAACTCCACCAAGTAGCCTCGTCCCTCCTCCTGAATGGTCCTGATTAGGAATATGAGAGAAACCCCAACCTTGGTCAGCCCAGCACATACTGAATCATCCTCCTTCCCCCCATCACCAATTCCATCCTCAGTATACCCCAATTGATCTTGGTCTCCCCCAATATCAGCAGCCACTTCATCCTTAGGATGACGTCAGTACTCCACAATTCAAAAGGAATGAAGTCCTCCCTCACCTGAATCCCCTGAATCTTCAGTACTACCATTTTACAAACTCCTCTACCCATTTCCACCTTTCCCATGCCCATCATCACCCCATAGCCTCTTGTATCCACTAACTCCATCCCTAGCAGCTCAACGATCTAGGTGGAAATGAAATTGTGGGTTGCCCCACTATCTATCAACACCACCACCTCTCGGTCAGCTATATCTCCTTTCATTTTTATAGTGTGACTCGGAGTGAATCCTATTACAGAGTTCAGAGATACTTCTGCCACATCCAGATGCAGCTTATCCTCCTCCTCCGCTTCAGACCTACTCTCACCTCCCTCCTCGTCTTTCTCATCTTGACAGACAAGGAGAACCTGAAGAGTTCGGTGCTTCAACTATGCCCCGACATGTACTTCTCATCACATCTGAAGCACAACCCCTTTGCCCTCTTCTCCTGCATCTCTTTCTCTATCAGCTTTTTGAATTGTCCCCCGTTTCCCCCTCCAGTTTTCTCCTTTGGCGCTTCCTTCAGACTCCCTGATGCTGCCCCTTTTGACGGTTAGAAAGTGGTAGTCATCCTGTATGATCCCCCTTGAATAGTTCCCTCGAGCCACCCTTTCTGATTTCTTCTGATCTTCCACCAACTACGCCAGCTCCATAGCCTTCCCTAGGTTCCCCGGCTCCATCACTCTGACTGCTGTTCGTATCTTAGGTTTAAGCCCCTTCATGAAGTTCCCTTCCAGGGCTGACTCCAAAATATGATCCAATATGCTAGCCAAGTACTCAAACCTGTCCGGTAATCTGCCACATTCCCCTCCTGAGTCAAGGCAAAGAATTGCTCATAGAAGTCTCATCCCCCATCAGCTCAGAAACGCTATAATAAGCAATCTTTGAACTCTCTCCAGCTCCGGATATGCTCCCTCCTGTCACGCCACTGATACCATGCCAAGGCTTTTCCTTCCATACACAATCCCGCCACCGTCAGCTTCTCTTCCTCCGTCAACCCTTTGACAGCAAAGTAATGCTCCTCCTTGTAGATTCAGCCATGGCCGTCTTCACCCTCAAAGACGGGCATCTTCAGCTTCCTCACCCGTGGGTCTCCCCCGTTTTCCCTGAATCCTCCATAACCTCCCATTCCTCGAAAAGGAGGTGCTCCCGCTCCCCAACTGTCACAATCTTCCCTCCGACGATTATACATGAACCCTTCATCGTATTTCCCTCTTCTCCCTTCAAAATCAGCACGTCGGCGATGAAATTCTTCCCTTCTCCCGACGAAATCAGCACCCCTCCGGTCATTTCCCAAACTCATCTCCTCTCTAGAAAGTGGCTCTAGAGGTGGCATGTCGTCCTCTCCCTCAATGATCTCCACTTCTGGATTTCTACTCCCCCTAAACGGGTTCAGATTCCCTCCTACGCCATGGCCTCTGGTGGTCTCTCTTGCTTCTGATGTCGTAGGATTGGTCTTCAACTCCAGCAGTTTCTTCACCATCTCTTCCATCACTGTGAATTTCCCTTCTATTCTTTCATTGTTGGAGGTGATTTGGTTTTGAAAATCAAAGTATTTTTCCTTCAAATCTAATTTTAATTGACTGATCTCGCCTTCCAAGACTTCTATCTTCTTCCCGATCATCTCTCTTCCCAAGAAACACAAAGATCTTCTTCCGGTTGTAAAATTTCAGCCGCCGATGGTCCCAAATTGATGCTCTGATACCAAGTTGATAGGAAATACTTGAGTTTGCAAGTAACCCTAAGAAATACTTGAGTTTGCAAGCAAACCTAATCGAAATCGGAGTGGAAAACAGCAAGAAAACTGCTGTTTTCAACAGTGGACATCAGCCAACACAGGAAAAACAGCGAGAAATCTGAGAGAAAATTCAGCAATAGACTTGTATTCCATTGGAAGATGAAATAAAATAGCAACGATACAATTGTTCTTCAATTCGAGAGGAAGAACAACTCTCCAAATTTCCGGCAACGCCAAGAGCCCAAAGCACACGAACCCTCGATCTCAAATCACATTCCAATTCAAGATAATCCCCAATTCCCTTCTAAACCTAACCCCTCATTAATCCCAAAGGAGAATTACCACTTACCTAAACAACCCTTACATTCAAATTATTCCCCTCAAAAATTGCATTAAGTCCAGCATGGGGCACGTAGGAGTTCCGCCCCCCTCCCTGTGCTTCTTCCGCCGTGCATAAACCAGGACCGGTCCAGCTGGCCCCTCCTGGGCCGGCGTGAGCGTGGGCGTAACAGAATCTCTGGGAGAAGTTTATCTTTATGATGTATGTAGTACTGTTGCTATGAGTATAGCTATTGAAGAGAAGATTAGGCCATCCACTACAGAAAAGTCGTAACCTCTTTTAAAATAGTAAGCTTGAAGGAGAGATGTTTGAGAAAGAGAAGATGCATACGCAAATACTCCACCGCTCTCAGTACAAGATCCAGGGCATCTGAGACTAGAATTGCTAAAAATTGCGCCTCCCTTAAAATAGTAGGTCAAGAAAACACTAATATCACAACTAATAAAGTGGTAGAACTACTAGCTATGGAGAAGGCTAAATCTGTTGAAGTGTTATTCTTAATTGCACTTGACGAGGAACAAGAAGGCAGAGCTCTTCAATATGAATTCGCAAGTAAAATCATATATTGTCACTCTAATTGTAAACGCTGGTAGTTGTAAGAATTTATTTAAGCTTCGTTTGGGGCTGTTTTTTTGCTGCTTCTTAAAGTAACTTTTTGGTATAAATTTTTTAATTTTTGTATTAAAAAGCTGCTTTAAGAAGCAGTAAGAAAGCCGTTTCAAACGAAACCTTAGTGTGATACCAAATTTAGGATTAGGAGACAATGTACTGTGAGGTTTGCTATCATACAATGCTATGATTTTTAGTTAAGATTTCAGTTTTCTAAGCTGCTTCAATCTATTTGTTTTCTTTTGCTTCTATATTGTCAATATCAAATTGTATTTTGTTCTTATAGGATAAAGAAGTTAGTTGATATGGATGCTTTAATTCTTTCACGCTTAGCAGTGATTGTCCTCGACATGCGAAGCGATGCCAAGGGCTATTCTCTTCTTACCCTTCCGCAAGTCAGGTAAGAGGTCTTCTTTTAACTTCTTCTTAAAACAATTTTTTAGTATAAAAATTAAAATTTTTTACTAAAAAACTTCTTCGAGAAGTAGTCAGAAAGCCATCCCAAACAAAGCCTTAATATGAAATTAGCTATTATTTCGGTATTATCTATTAGGTACTTTTAAAAGCATAATTATAAATCTTATTCTTATATTTTTTTCTCAAATTATCATGATAGTGCTGAGTTCTGGGACTTATATAGAGTTCACTTCAATGAAAGAATTATTCAAGGTAGAACAAGGATCTGTTTTTACGGTTCAGCTGAACTTAGAAATCCAAAGAAAGCAATAAGTGATTACTAATCGCTGCTGTATAATGTAAGAAGATATTTTCCTCCCATTTCATGTATTCATCAATGAAAATTTCTCATATTCATGATTTTTTTTGGCTCTTATGCTAAAATTGCAGGTTCCATGCACTTTCCAAGCTGTCTCATTGAAGATTTGGGTGATTTTGGCAGATACATGAAACTTGAATATCAAGCAGGAATGCTCAATTTTGATAGTTATAGCTGAATTATATCTTATTGTGACATCAGTTTTCTATAAATAGGCTGTTTTTTTTAGATTTAGGCTTCGTTTCAGACGGCTTTCTTACTGATTTTTAAAGTAACTTTTTAAATTTTTATACTAAAAAGCTGCTTTAAGAAGCAGTAAGAAAATTGTCCCAAATGAAACCTTAATTTGTTGATTAGTTCTGAAGGAATAAGCTGTAGTTAGCATGCAAAGCTGCATTCTATGTTTTTGAAAAGCTTGGTTAGTTTATTGAAGAAATTATGATGATTTATGGTTGACTTGGGATTGTTGGGTTGCTTTCTTTTGAGATTTGTTATATGAAATAAAATTTTCATTATTATTAGGGGTGTCAATATATGATACGTTACGAAAATGAGAAATTTGTAGATGAGTATCAATATATGGATGAATTATTCTGCGCGGACATCGGATGGGGAGACCTGTCCGTCCGGTTTTGTCTTTGTGAACAGTAAAAACGCAACTCACTGTGTTTTTATTGTTCACTGAGATAAAACTGGATGATTCTCCCCATCCGGTATCTGCACTGCATAATCTCTCCGATATATGGACAATCCGAAAATTAGGAGTGTCAATATATGATATGATATGAAAATTAGACTTACAATTTGGTTATGCTCTTCAGTATGAACAGTGTAAAATCTACTGCTAGTTGCAGTAGATTCTTCTCTACCTATGTATATATATTTGTTATTTTTTAAAACAAAGTTTGTTTTAGAAAAAAAAAAAGAGGTTTAATTAGAATATAAAATTGACTTTAAGTAACATAAAAATGTTATAAATTAAATAAAATTAACATTTATTTTTACAATAAAAATAAAAAGTGGAATTTACATAAATACTATAAAATTTGCATGTATTTATATATATTATTTTTAAATGGTTATATTTATTTATAAAATATTCAAATATTTAAATCACTTTAAAATAATATTATATATATATATATTAACTATTTGCTTAGAAAAAAAGATAGAAATAATCAAACACATGATAAAAAAATATCATAATTAAAAATATTTTTTTTATATAAATAATTAAATGATACTCATGATCCATTTGGGTTGTTTGTAATTTTTTTGTAAAGATTGTTATAAAGCTATTATATAAAAAATAAATTCTTAGCACAAAAAATTTGTAAAAATTAAAAAATAATAATAACAAAATAAAAACTATAATTATAGCCTAAAATGCATAGTTCTAAATACAACTTCTTACAATTTGCTAAAAAAAAGGGATTTACATAAATACCACTTTATATCATATTTTTAAATATCAAACACTAAAAACTTTAATATTTCATGCATATCACCTATTCATTATATTTGCACGATCCCCAAAACCGACTCAAAAAATTTTGAGTTTTGGTCAACCCATTTCTTAGATGTATATAACTAAAGTGTCACGACCCAATCCGACCAAGACGGATCCCATCGCGTTGAGTCGCGACGGGCGAACCCCAGGATCTAGCTTTGGAATTTATTTTCAGACTTTCTTCCAATATACACAAAGGAATACAGAAACACAGAGCTACTACAAACTTCTAAATACACATAAAACTCATCCATAATTTTCTTCTTTGGACTATCATTCATTAAAATAATCATATATATTACAGTACATGACTACTGACAGAAAGTACAGAGCAGAACAGGAAAAATAGTCATGACTGTACAAAAATCAAAAGTACAAAAATACCTATAACTTCAAATCAGATCCTGAACGGCTAGTCCAAAACTTCATTCCCTTTCCAAGAACCTGAAAATCATGAAGAAAACCACAGTGAGCTAACAGCTTAGCAAGACTACAATAGCCATCTAAATTCCCAGGTACTCTCATATCAAAATATTTACAAAAAATCTTTAAACAGTTTATTCAAATAGCCGTACAGAATATTCATCAGAAATCCAGATAACAGATAGCTGTACAGAATTCAGTTACTCATCAGATATCCAAATAAACAAACAAAATTCGGATAATCATATAAAAATCAGAGATAATTCAAATGGTCGTACATAACAGATAATCATATGGAATCAAATAACAGATACAAAAGAACTGAATAAATTCGTATCACAGAATCGTAAAAATCACATTTCAGATCAGATTTTTCCTGACACAAATAAAATCTCAAAGGATTATGACCCCTTATGCCTCTCTTCTAAATTGCCCTGACACAGACAAAAACTCAAAGGAATCTGGCTCCTTATGCCTCCCTTTGTGCTTACAGCACCATAATATATATTCCCGGACACAGACAGAATCTCAAAGGATTCTAACCTCTTATGCCTTCCTTCTCTGAAACAGACAGAATCTCAAAGGATTCCGGCCCCTTATAACTCCCTTCTGATATCATTAAAATCAAATGTGCACATCAAACATCACATCATAACATATTCAGAGAAATAGGATACATATCAAAATATCGTCAGATTGTATAACGGCAGACGACAAAAATTTTAGCGAATAAAAAAATTCACAGTTTCAGAAATTTACCAAATTACTAGAGATCGTGTAAAACATCATTTCAAGACTTTCATTGTACTTAAGCAATATTTTTCAATATACAGATAATTTTATTCGATAAAAACCTCGCATAATTTAAAATACCAAGTGAAAATTTTCCAGAAAATACTCAAAACGTGTAAAATCATTATCTCAAAAACATACAAAAAGTTATGCGGTAAAAGTTTTACCCGTTTTTCGCTAATGGAAACAAAATTTGAAACAGAAAATTCGTCAAAACTTACATTTCTGAAAATTGTGAAAGGCATAATGTGTCTTATCTCGAGTCGATTAACTTTTTCAACTACAATGACAGACGAAAACTGACCGAAGTCACCCAAAACTAGCTTTTCTTCCTCTTTCCTTCCTTTTCTCTCTCCTCAACCGGTTTCTCTCTCTCATTTCTCTCTTCAAAATGAAAATTAGATATTTAATGGGCTGAGATTTTTCCCCGATCATCCGGACGATGTTCATGGTTTGTCCCTGGACGATCTCCTCGGTTGGTTCACAAACAATATTCGTACGAACGAAAATTGCTCTTCGTACAGGGACGATCTCCTCGGGTCGCCTTCGTACGAATGATGATTACTCTTCGTCCCTGGACGAAGTTCTCTGTCCAAAACTTTTAACTGTTCGTCCCGGACGAACCCAGCTTTGTACGGACGAACCTAGAAGGAAAATCCAAAACAAGCTGAATATGAAAGAAAAAAGGGTTTTCACATAAAGTTAGGTCGAGTTCGGGTTGACCCAGCAACTTGTAATCTACCCGAACTTGATCCTAGTCTAGATCCGCTAGCCTGTGGTCCAATCAGGCATGCCTTGACGCTTTGCCTAACATGCCCAACATTTTAAATTAAATCTGATTTTGAAAATAGCGGGTTGGCGGGTCGTGTCGAGTAAACCTGGTAACCTGCGCGGGTTGGGTTCAGATTGACAATTTTGACCAATTTTTAAAATCATATCGGGTTAGGATCAACCAACCCGTTTAAACTCAAGTCAATTTGGATTCGATCCGAACCTAAACCACGAGCCCGCTTTGACACCCATAATATTCATCAAATAAATGTGCAAGGAATAAAATATTAAAATTTGTAGGATACTATAGTTGGTGGTAATAAAATATAAAAGTGAAATATTTTATATTAAAGTTATTTAAAAATATAAAATATTAAAATTTTAAGTATTTAGATATATAATATGATATAAAATAGTATGTATGTAAATAATTAAATGAATAAAACAAAACAAAAAAACAAAAGGCCGCTCTTGACGTGCAGAAAGCCATTAGATAACTTGAAAAACCCCGTTGTTTTTCTGGTATTCCGCATACGATATCTTGATTCTTGGTAGAAAAAAAAAATTTTTTTTTTCTTGAGGGAGAAGTGGAGAGATCCCAAATCGTTTCCTAGGCGATTGCTGCGCGAGATCTACATTTTCCGCCATGGTTTTGTGTGGAGCTCGCCGCGCTGCCCTTCGCCTATCAGTGTTCCTTCTCTCCGCCATCTTCTTGTTCCTCGCCGCGGCTGCTGACGACGCTGCCCACGACGACGAGTCGACCCCCAAATCTGCAACTTGCAGCAACAGATTCCAGTTGGTAAGGGATTATGTCTTATGAGCTTTTACTTAGGGGATTGCGAGCTTGGCTTTTATATCCATTCTTCTTGAGCAAAAATCAAAGATTGTTCCTGCTAGCGTCAATTGTGGGTAGAAAACGACGGGAATTTGGTGTTAATCGACTTGCTGAGCTGTACGATATTCTGGATAATGATGATTTGTGGCACGAACAACTTGTTTGATTTTAATCAGATGTAATAGTTGAACTGATAGAATGATTTAGTTGAATAATTCCTCGGAAATTTGCTACATTCCGTGTTTTTTTGGAGAATTCTTTGCGTTCTTCTCGATAGTAAGCTATTATTCATTAGGAAGGTTAACATCATCATGTCATCAGTAGTCATATCCCAATTTCTAGGTCAGCATCATGAATTATAGTTTCCATTGTTTTCTATTTAGTGCTACTTGAG